CAGAGACAGAACAGGCTTATCAGTTTAGCACCAGATTAGTGAACCGGCTTGAGGTCAGAGGACAAGAAGGCACAGATTTTTAAACACGGGATCACATGTAGACCTGCAAGATGAATACATAGAAAGTTACCAGTGTTCTGAAACTAACAGTAGATCCCCTTCTAGTGTCTTGGGCTCTCATTCTGGGTGCACTAAGCAGGATGACAGGCAGAGTGGCTCACACTACATAAGCAGTTAGCTCTCTTCTCTGCACTCCTGAGGCAGTGTCCATTGCCTCAGTTGAAAACTAAAGCTCCCAACATGCATGAATCTCTGTGTTTTGTTCACTGGTGTATCCCTGCCTAGTACTATGCCTGGCACATAAGTGTTTGTTGAGCAAATGGATGGATCTACTCCTCCTTTGGTCCAAGCTGAATTCTCATAAGCTGAAGCAATTTGGGTCTAGTACATGACCTCTCAGGGTATTATACTGCCCTAGCCAGAAAAATTCACATGGAACTGTTCATAGAGAGTTTTCACTCCTCATGGGGTTCAGGGACCCCCAGATTAAGATTTCCTGGGGCCACCGTGACGCTTTAGCAGGATGACCTTAAGGACTTTGGAGGTTCACTTTTATAGCTGCCTAAAGACCTTTCTTTCTTTTTTTTTTTTAATGTTAATTATTTTTGAGAGAGAGAGACAGACTGTGAGTGGGGGAGGGGCAGAGAGAGGGAGACACAGAATCTGAAGCAGGCTCCAGGCTCTGAGCTGTCAGCACGGAGCTTCACGTGGGACTCGAACCCATGAACCTCAAGATCATGACCTGAGCTGAAGTGGGAATACTCAACCAACTGAGCCAAAAGTCTCCCAACTGCTGGAAACAAATGGTGCCCTTCCACTGTCAGCCGAAAGGCTCACAGGGGCACCAGGCTAAGCACACTAGTGGCACCAAAATGTTCTTCACTGCCCACCCCAATGTTTTCTGCCCACTCCTAAGCCAGCCCATTGGCTGCCTGGACTTTCTTCACAGATGTCCTCCCGAGCTGCCGACAGAGTTTTAGCACCGATATTGAATGGCAAGATGGATCACCTACAGGACCACCCTGGCTCCCCAGCTAGCCCAGCGAGCACTGACAGGTTGCTTGTCACCACCAGCTCTGATGGCTTGGACATGTAGAAATGTACAGCAGGAGAATATTCAAACAGCTGCTGTAAGGTGAGCTGATGGAGGCAACCGCCCGCAGGCTGAGAGGAAAACGTAATTTATGGGCATCTTCAGCAGAGCTCAGAGCTGAGCAAAGGCTGCTACAGAAACGATCAGGGACAAGCCAGTGCTCTCGGACCACAGTGGCTCCACCTGAGCAAAGAGAAAGTAGAGGCCAGAGACAGGGGTCAGGAAGGGGCAGAGGTTCCTGCGATCCAGAGATGAACCACCCCATGGATTCCGCACCCACGAGGACAGCACACATAACCTCCCAACCTGCATGGAGATTCTCTGTCTGGAAGAATGACAAACTCCTTGCACTGTGTTTGGAACAAAGCAGAGCCAGCAAAGACTCAGAGACAAAATCAGCCTCTTGGGTGTTGGGAATCTGGGTAGGGAAAGGATTACCTGTCTGTGCATTTGTGCTGGCTAGAATAGTGTCCCCCCAAACTCATGTCCACTGGAAACTCAGAATGTGACCTTACTTAGAAAGAGGGTCTTCACACTATATGTTAGCTAACTTGGATTTAAATAATTAAAAAGAAGAATATGAAAAAAAGAAAAAAGAAAGAAAGAAATAGGGTCTTGCCTTTGTAGTTAGTTAGGGTGAAGTCATACTGGATTAGGGTTAGCCCTTAACCAAATATAACCAGTGTTCTTATATTAAGAGGAAAGACCTGGGGCACCTGGATGGCTCGGTAGGTTAAGCGTCCAACTTCGCTCAGGTCATGATCTCAGGGTTCGTGGGTTCGAGCCCCATGTCGGGCTCTGTTGGGCTGACAGCTAGCTCAGAGCCTGGAGTCTGTTTCAGATTCTGTATCTCCCTCTCTCTCTGACCCTCCCCTGCTCATGCTGTCTCTCTCTCTCTTTCTCTCTCTCTCTCTCTCTCTCTCTCTCTCAGAAATAAATGAAACATGGAAGGAAGGAAGGAAGGAAGGAAGGAAGGAAGGAAGGAAGGAAGGAAGGAAGGAAGGAAGGAAAGAAGGAACATGGAGACCCAGGGAAGAAGGACTATGGAGGCGGAGCCTGGAGTGATACAACTATGAGCCAAGGATGGCCAACAGCCACAAAAAGCTAGGGAAGAGGGGAGGAAGGATTCTTCCCCAGAACCTTCAAGGGCTTCCAGGGACAGGGCCCTGCTGACATTTTGATTTTGGATATGTAGCCTCCAAAACAGTATGTGAATAAATTTCTGTTGTGTTAAGCCACCAAGTTTGTGGTTATTTGTTATAGAGCCCTTGGAAACCAGTGAGCATCTATCTGTCCTCCTAGCTAGCTCCACATAGACCTCTGTACAGTCTTCTATCCACAAACAATTAATAAGCACCAACTATGTACCAGACACTCCTCTAGCAACGAACACAAACAGAAAAATCTCTGCTTGTGTGGAGCTTCTATCTCAGAGTAGGAGAACCCAGAAAATAATCAAAACGAAGAAGTAAAATATAGTCTGTCATATGGTGGGAAGTTCAGGAAGGGGTCCGACAGAACGAGCTGGGGGTATTAGTTTCAAATCCACATGAATCGAACACTCCCAGTAAACTGTGATGCAAACATTGAACCTAGTATTCTAGTATTGTCATTTTTGTAAAAAATGGTACAACATGTGAGGGTGTAAGGGAGAGAAAAGAGCCTTCCTCTATTATGTCAGTGTTTCTGCTCTAAAACTAGGAAAACCATCAGCCATAAAGCTCATTGTGAAGGGAAGAGAATACATTAGCAAAAAGCACCAAGGGGGGGGTGAGGGGGGGAATGCCCAATGACTCTGTGGCTAATTCACACTTGTTGGCTGATTTGTAAAGGAATCTAGCCATTTACCATTCAACAATTCACCGTGTCAAAGACCTCAACAACGCACAAGCAATTTAGCTCTACAAAACCACTCTTTGGGAAGAAAGGATGCAAAAGGAGGCCTTTTGAACAGAAAACCTGTATCATCCAAGAGCCTCATTAAATTATCACTCAAGTAAAAGAGAGCTCGAGAGAACATTCCACATTGAAGGACATGTTCTAGCAACATGGGAGCCACGGGTCACATGTGATTGATTAGTGAGCACTTGAAAAATGTCTGGGGAGACTGAAGAATGGAATTTTTAATTTGATTTAATTTTGATGAATTTAAATAATGACACCAATTAAATAACAACATGTGACCCGGAGCTCCACTACTGGGGAGTACAGCTTTAGAATCACAGAAGTCTGGCTGTGCAGAAAAGCCTGACAGACTCCTTGGATCTGAGATGCGACCAGCTCTGCAAGTAAAAATAGGTCAGGGAGACTTCATAGAATGTACAACTATCATGGATAGTATTTCTAGGACACACTTATTTCCTTAACCCTCACAGTGGTCTTATAAATGGCCAATAGTATCATCCCCAGTTGCTGGATGGAGGTTGAACATCAAGGTTCAACAGGAGTATCTGATTTGCCCAGGGCTTTGTAGCTTTCAAGGTACAGCAGAGATTTGAACTTAGCTTAGACACCAAAATCCATGCTCTTCTCTCTGGGACACACCACCTAACAGCACCTTTCACTCTTATGATTTTTTTTCCATTCCCACCCTCACCTGAACAACCTAAAACACAAAAGCGTGTGTGTGTGTGTGTGTGTGTGTGTGTGCGCGTGCGCGCGCGCGCGCGCGCACTGCAAGCCTGAGTAGATTTTGTGGAACAGGTTAGGTCTGGAGCCTGCCTGAGTGCTTCCTGTGGATCTAGTGTTCTGCACCGGTCAGTAGTCCTCTCGCCAAGCAGCCCCATTTTCGGCTTGGCCAGGCAGAGTGTAATGCCCAAGACACTGATGGGGCAAACGGGATGCACGGATGCAATTCTTCTCACGCTCTCCGGGGTGTGCCAAAAATTAATGTTTTGCAGCATCTTTAATTTCAACACCTCCAGCTAAAGCGTGTGTTCTTGGATCGTGATCCCGACTTCGTAAGTAAATCCTGAACTTGGCTCCCTTTCTGGTAGCAGTCAGCATTCCTACGCAGAGTTTTGTTTCCGTCAGCAAACTACAAAAACAAAACCCTGAAAACTACCAATGTGTACAGAGAAGCCGTCGTAGTGTTACACGAGAATTAGTCGTTGCCACGCTTTGTTCTCGGAGGTTCCCCGCGGGAGGAAAGCTCCACCGTCTGAACTGCGAGGGCAGCTTCCCAGGGAATGCCCGGCCCGGCTGCTTTCCTGTCGGGCTCGCAGCTCCGAGCGCCCGGGGCTCGGCCTGGGATCGACCAGCGGTGCTAAAAGCGCCGACACCGCCATCCACAGGCCCCAAGCTGGCGGCACCGGGAGGGGGGCGCCCGCCACGGGAGTCCCCACAGGATCCGACACGACACCACCTTCCTTCCGCCCGCCTAGCCCTCAGTCCCCGCTCGCGGAGAGCGGTCACTGGTCCCCAACTCCGTGCAGCCGGCACCGCGCGGCAGTGAGCGGGTTCTGCGACCCTCCAGACCCCGAAAAAGAAGGGCGGTGGCATTTCAGACCCTGTTCCCGGGGGCTGAGCCAGCGCGAACCGTCTGTGATGCCCTTCCCTCCCTTTCCTTTCCCGAACTGGGGGCAGCGCGGTCCCTTCCCCAGACAGGAGCGGGGGCGCGCCAAACCCAGAGCAGCTCGGAGCCTGCGCCCCCCGGAGGACGGCGTGTCAGGCGGATCTGCGCCAGGGACAGTTCGCGCGCAGGGGACGCGGGAGTTCCCGGGATGTGCCACCGCTCAGAGGGGGCCAGCGAGCTCCGGGCGCCAGCGCGTCGCGGAGGAGGCGAGCGCGAGTTCGGGCTCCGCGAGGGACCGAGACCGAGGGGCGCGCAGAGGGAAAGCAGGCTTACGTCTGGGGCCGGCCGGGCTGCTGCGCGGTGCTCCCGGGGCCGGGGCGACCGCGACACTGGCGCGGAGAGGAAGCCGGGGATCCCCGAGGGGCCCGTTCCGACGGCGCCTGCGGCCGCCTCCCCAGGCGCCCGCGCGCCTCCTGGTCCGCTCGCCGCGTGCAGGACGCCCGGCCGAGGAGGGACTCCGCAGGAGACGTGCCGACGCGCCTGCCCAGGAGAGCCGGGTCTCCGGACCGACCCGATCCGCACGTTGAGGGAAAGTCTGCTCATGACCTTGCGAGGGTCGCGGACGCTGAGCCACGCGTGGGGGACCGTGCGCCCGAGGACCGGTTGCCGGGAGTTCCACGGCGTGCCGGGCGAGCCGAAGCTCACCGACGGCGAGGGGGGAAGGGGCCACCTAGGGGGGGGGGGGCGCAGGGGGAGGAGGGGTTGACTCTGAGTTTATCTGGACTGAGAGGTCATCCGACCTGTTTGCGGGCAAGCGCAATTCGTGGATCTTACCTGCTCCGGACCCCGCGCTGGGCGGTAGCGCTCTTCCCGAGCCAGGGCTGGGGACTGTTTCCTGGAGAACATGTCTCGCTTTTTCCTCTGCTCACTCTTATCCAGGTCGCTTTTCTTTCCCCTTTGTGCCCCTTTGGGGGTTGGGGGTGGGGGAGACGTACTACGGACGCCTTGCTCCTCACTCAGGAAGAGACAAGTTGAACTTCAAGGGACAGGGGCCCCACATTTTGTCTGCTCCACAGATCCCACCCGCGGACCACTCCCTCCCCTCACTGCTGTCTCGGGGCGGGTCCCACCCATCCGAGCCCTTAAGGACAGATCCACCGCAACCCCACCTCTTTTGCATTCAAAGAAGTTACTCTTTAGGGGCAGAGGGAAGGCCAAGCGGACTGATGGTTCTCCCCCCCCCACCCCCACCCCCAAACTTACACCCCGGCGAGGACGGCAAGAAAAGAAGACCTGAAAGTTTCGGCTGTGGGAGACAGAGTAGTTGGGAGCCAAAGAGTTACTTCTCGGCTCCCCCAAATCTCCTTATCGCATCCTAGACCATTTTCTTTTAGCCAGAGCTTAGCCAAGTAAAAATCAAAATAACTGCAGGCACTGGCAATAAAAGGCCAACTTTGTTTTCTCTAGAAGAGAGTTAAGGTTTTGAAGGCGAGCATTATTTGCATTAGACAAATAGAAACCTGCCTTCTGTTACATGCTTCGTGAAGAAACTGCTTTTGCAAAACTGCCTGAGACTTTGCTGAGGTTGGCGGGGCTGTGGGAGCACCTCGGGCTGCTTCCCTAATAAGCCCGGTTGGCAACTTCCTAGGAAGGGCATCCGCAGGCTGCCACTGCGCCGTCCAGCAGCTCGGCGTTTGCGTCAGTGGCAAGCCTCTGCTCCTCTCCAGACAGCGTCAAGGAGGGCACTGCGGGCAGTCACGAGGGTTAAGTCACTTTATCATTTGAAGCCCAAGACGAGTTGTCAAATGTCTGGGGGTTTGGGGGGCAGGGAGACTACACTGCATTTTTCTTAAAAATGAGTTTGTATCCAACTTGGGTCAAGTGAAAATGTCAAAAATGATTCATGAGGTCATTGAACAAATCCATCTCCATTTTTCTGGTGGAAGCGACGCATAGTCAACAAAGTATGCACAAAGTATGCACGAGGCACCTGTTCCTTGAATATTATTGCTGGGGGGAACTGTCTACATTTGCACAACTGGGGGGAATCAGTATTTTGTTTCTGAAATGAAATGAAAAAGTAAATATATATATGTAAATATATATATATGTATATACATATATATATATAGTAAAAAAGTTGAAATGCTGACTTGATCAGGGTTCCAAACATCAGATTTGAAATCCAGTGTCTGACAAGTTTATCATAATCCACAAAAATTAAGCTCTTAGTATCCGAGGCAAGCTTTGTGTTAAGCACTGTACACGCATTCTCTCTTTTGGGTCTATCAGCCACTTTATGGGGTAGGTACTATTATGGTTTATTTTAGAGAGGAGAAAGATTTAGGGAGTTCAAGTAGCCAGTCTAAGGTTACACAGCTGGACAAGTCCTGAGCTGGGATGCCCCGGAGGCAGTGTAACTTCAGGACTGTGTTCTTATGAAAATCCTGCCTCGTCAGAAGTCATCACTGCATGGACACCAGTCAGAAAACGAGGACCCTAGGGGATTCTTCAGCCTGCTCTCCCTTGAGCAAATCACACGGCCTTTCTGAGCCAGGTTAACTCAGTTTGCAAAAGGAGGTTTGGATTCAGTCCTCGAGGGTCCTACAGGCATTCTGAAGGCTAGTATGCCTTTGTGTCACCTTTCTCTTCCACTTTCTGCCCTCTGGTGGAGGTGCTGCAGGAAATGTGAAATTAAAGCAGCTAACTCCATGGATTTGAGGTAGCTGGTATCCCTCTCTCTTCCACTACTATACTATGTTCTGAGAACTAACACTGCTTGCATTGCTGGTATAAAATAAGAAGTCTTTCAATTTCTTTCCAGAAAAAAAAAACAAACAAAAACCCAACCAGTTCTATTACCAATGGCACCAGAGTGACTACTTGAGGTATTGTTGGCGTGACAGTAAACATCTATTTTTATGTACTTTGTAAGAAGGGCTTATAATGTAAGAAATCACAAAAATGTGAGAAGCCTCATAACACCTGAAGTACTTTGAATATGCAGAGGGCCTGCAGTAATCGTCAATGCCCGGAGTTCCTCCTTTTTAACAATTTGCCACATTTGCTTTTCAACTTAGCAACCATCAGCTAGTTTCTTACAATACTTTAATTTTATAAAAGGAACATTTCTAGTCTTTGGAAATTTTTATTGTCTAGCATTTCTAGTATATATTCAACTAATTAGATCATTTCAAAGAAAAAAAAAAACAAAACAAACCCTAAAATGGTTTATGGAAAGGTCAGCTTAAACATACTAAGAATGTCTCTGGGGAAAGGGTAATTTTACAGATGAAACTTTGGTCACATATATTGCAGACCTGTTTAGTGCTTAGTACTACCAATGAAAGCAATTTGAGAACAAGACAGAGATATTTTAAAGCCGCAGTCGGCATCCCGGGACCATAATAGGCAAGCAGTGGATACGATAGATACACTAACCCCCAAATTATCCATTTAGCTATTCATTCAGCTAATACTCATTTAGGATTTGCTGGCCTCCAAGTGAACAATAGCTCCTGCCCTCACAGAACTGTCTAGTAAAAGAGATGCATTAAAGACACTCAAAATATGTTATGGAAAAACACTTGAAAATAATGTGGGACTGGCTTTAGGGGATGTAGAATGTGGTGTTTTTGGCTGAGATCTAAAGAAGCAAAGACTTTTTACAAATATTAAAGAGCAAGAAAGAGGTGAACTGGAAATTTCCCTGTTGCAGGGAAGGGAGAGTTTGTTTAAAGAAGAAATCAGCATACCCTCACCTGCTCACTGAAATATTGTGCATATGCCAGAAGTGGCATGGGCAGACATTCTGCTTTGCTGTACATATTGTTACTAGGACATCAGTCCCCTGCTCTACTATAGCAGAGCAGTCATTTGGGAAGAAGATAGTAAGAAGTGGCCCAGAAAAAAAAATTCCAAAGGAACTTTATTTTTAGCGCCCTCGCACCACCTAGTGCCGTTTCCCCACCACGGGACCTCTTCCTGCAAATTGTCCAAATGCCCCCTACCTTTGGGCAGCATCCTGCCTGGTCTTCAGAGAGATAGTGCCCCCCTCAATGACAGTGCCCACATGAGCAAAAACTGAGGTGCCTCAGTTCCCAATAGATTTTTCTTTCCTCCGACTGGTGAATCCATTTGTAACAGAGGTCTTGAAGTTATGAGATTAAGTCACACTTACCTTTATTATTATAGCTACGATATTTTAAAAAATTTTTTAATGTTTAATTTTGAGAGAGACCGAGTACGAGCCAGGGAGGAGCAGAGAGAGGGAGACATGGAACCCAAGCAGGCTCCTGGCTCCGAGCTGTCAGCACAGAGCCTGAGGCAGGGCTAGAACCCATGAACCCTGAGACCATGACCTGAGCCAAAGTCAGACGCTTACCTGACTGAGCCACCCAGGTGAGTAGCTAAGATTTTCTAAGCACTGTGTGGCAAGTACTTCACAAAGTGATATGTCACTTTTGTCTTTAATTCTTGAAACAAACCTACTTTCCTTTGCTGTAAAAGGAGACTACATAGGCTGTCGTGGCAATTTTTAAAATGTAAACCGCTTTGAAAGAGTTGCAGACATATAATAATTGCTAATGCTTACTGTTGCTACTTTACAAAAGGAAATTGAGGCTTACAGAAGTTAAATAATAAGTGTTGTAGTGGGCTGAAGAGTGTCCCTCCCGGAACCAATGTCCACTTGGAGGCTATGTCACCCTCCACATTTGGAAATGGAGTCTTTTGAGATGTAGTTAATTAAAATGAGATTATATCGGCTGAGTGGACCTTAAATATACAGAGACAGAAAAGGGCACAGACCCACAGAGGAAGGTCATGTGAAGATGGAGGCGAGACTCGTGATGCCTACAAGCCAAGCCAAGGCAAGGACTGACGCCCACAATCAGAAGCTATGAGAGAGGCATGGAATAGTTTTCAGTCTCCAGGAGCAACCAATCACATTGTCACTTTGACTTTGGACTTATGGACTCCTGAACTGTGCGAGAATAAGTTTCCATCATTTCAAGCTACTGTGTTTGTGGTCATTTGCTATGGCAGCCCTAGAAAGTGAACACCAGCATCTACTCTGTGGCGAGGCGTGCCCACTCTGGGGGTACAGCCGTAAACAAAACTACACTCCTGCCCTCGTGTAGCTTATGTTCTAGTGAAGCAGATGAGACAACAAACAAACGCATGATACAATGACAGGTACTGCTTGGTGCTATGAGGAAAAAGTATTGTAAGGTAGAGGACGGCCAGATGACGGTGAAAAGGGAACGTCTCTCTGAAAGTGTTTTAACTCAAACGAATCTGGACTGGGGAATTTCAGGCTGCATGTGGATAACTCTTCACGGTGCCACATAAATACACGTCCCCACATTAACTGAAACAGAAATAAGAGAAGCTCAGCAAATAAGAGACTTAAACTTCCCCAGTAGACCAACAAGATTCCGCAATACCTGAAAATGGCCTTCCGGGTGGATGCCTGGTGTCTCGTCCGCTGAGGGGTTCGAGGCTCCCTCTCCCAAATTCCCATCTCTTTTAGGGGGTGTTTCTTCCCTCTATGAAGCTCACCAACTTATAAGCAGACTCTAAGCCCCAAGGCTTAAGGTGGTCTAATCACTGCCACTCAATACAGAGGACAACTTCCAAAGACCAGAGAGGGGACAAAGCTGCCCTCTATCAGTTCTGGCTCCAGAGCTTCAACTAACTTACTAACATCCAAGGATGGGCAAAGGTAACACCACGAGGAGCCCCCTGGGTCATCTGAGATAACATGAAGAGTCAAAAAAGCTTTGCGTCATCTTGAAACACTACCTCAGATACGTACCTGTGTTTAAATTTTTAACACAAATCTGGGCACCAGTCAGTTAAGCATCCATGTCTTGATGTCAGCTCAGGTCATAAGACGGACTCCAGGTGGGGCCCCATGTCGGGTTCTGTGCTGACAGTCCAGAGCCTGCTTGGGATTCTCTCCCTCTCTCTCTCTGCCCCTTCCCTGCTCATGCACTCTCATCAATTAAGTAGGGGCACCTGAATGGCTGAGTTGGTTAAGCATCCCGTCTTGGTTTTGGCTCAGGCCAGGTCATGTTCTTGACATGAATTTAAGCCCCGCATCAGGCTCTGCACTGGCACTGTGGAGTCTGCTTCTCTCTCTCTCTGTCCCTCCCCCACTCACACGCGCTCTCTCTCTCTCTCTCTCTCTCAAAAAAAAAAACCATTTAATTAATAAATAAGTAAATAAATAAAATTTTTAACATTCATAGACATGAAGTTCAAGCATCAGACTTCTTTGCAAAAAGCAAATGTTTTCAATGTTTTGCTCCAACCAAGTTCCTCTAGCAATTTCAGCAAAGATTATACTAATTTATTTGACATTTGAATTTAATTTGGACTTGACTAAAGTAACTGAAATGCAAAGACTAGGTTCTGAACACTCCTAAGAGTTTAAGCTGAAAAACTAAAATTTCAATATAAATTTTCCACAAATTTCAAATAGTAAGCTAATAGACTTCTACAATGACACAAAGGAAGTAAAAAAGGTAAGGACATGACATTCACAATTTTATTTATGTCATTCCTAGTGGCTATTTGATAACTCTTCCATTCCTCCTCTGGTTCAGATTGAAGCAAAAAAAGGCAATATGTACTGCTTTATTTCCTTCCAAAGAAGTATTTAGGCCAAAGTGAACCTCATGTTGACCTTAAAGATCTATCCTGTCTCATTCATTCCCCTTCCCCTTATCAAGCAGCGGTTTCCACTCATTCAAGGGCGATGGGAACTGGGGCGAGGCATCAGCAGCACCTCCAGCATCTGGGCTGCCTCCCAGCCCATCTCCCTCCCTTGCTCCCTTCCAGTTTTTTCTCCACCAGCAGCCGGCAAATCATCGTAACAAGAAGAGCAACTATTCCCCACTTACAGGATTCCAATACTGCCCACTGCCACTGGGATAAACCCCAATACCTCACCATGGCCCATGGGGCTCGCGGACTTGGTACCTGCTACTTTCCCTCCTTTATGGATTTTTCCCTCATATCTTCAATGGAGGTCACTCAGGACACAGCTCAGATGTCCCCATACAGGCACATCTCAGGGGGGCTTTCCCAGAATAAAACAGCTAGGGCCCACTTACCCCCATTTTCATGACTTTCCATTTGGTAATACCACTTATCACACATTAAAGGATTTTTTTTATTGTGCATCCATTTCCTTCTTGCCCCCTTCCACTCCTTAGCAGCTCCTTAAGAGAAAGGATCACTCTCATCTCCAGTACCTATAAAGTACCTATCACACAGGAAACACATCTGTTGACTGAATAAATAATAGTGTGTGACTTTGGATAATCTGAACTACTAGCCAGGCAAATACACAAGAGTAAAAAGCTTAATTATTATTAATTCAATCAGTCTCATTCCTCCGCTCACTAAATTCTTCCCAACAAATGAGAAAGAAAACTGGCAAGAACGGAAGCCCAACAAACAGACGGGAAATAGGCTGTAGGCTTGTTTATTAGGCCAAGATTCTGAGATACCTGAAAATAGCTTCCCAGACAGACACCTAGTTGTTCAGTCTTTAATATTCATCTTTTAGAGTAAAGAAATGACGAAAGTGTAGCAGCTCTAATTTAGAGCTTCTGAAACACCAACCCAGTTACTCTAACATGGAGAAAGGTAAAAAACAAAAAAAACAAAACCCAAAAACTAAGGTCAAAACACAAATGCCATAATGAAAAGAATGACTGCCCTTTCATTTCAGACAGTAGCTAACACTGGACGAATGCATAGAACATTAAAAATTTTTTAATTTAAAGTCAGCAAAGTTTAAAAAATCCTTCTTTGTACTTCTGTTTAAAACCTACTTCTCCACTTTTTAGTATCTACCAATTAACTGCGTTTTGCATCCAGTATTAGAGCTTTTATACATTGATACTGATACCTGGCCTAAAATGACTGGCCCCTGAATCTTTTAGATTATAGTAAATATTCTAGGTTACAAATTTGGTATGAAAAATTTTAATGAAAACATTAATCATACAAAAATTAAATAGCAAAACCGTTTAAAATCACAATCAAACAGATTTGGCTTACTGCTATTTCTCTATCAGCTTGTTTTCATAAGAACGGATTATTTCCAGCTGAAATCTACTTATAGGATGTGGTAAGAAGAAATGAGAATAGGTATAGAAAGCTCCTAAAGCCCTGTGCTCAACCAATTGCTCATAAATAGCAGTTTTTCTTTTATTGTTACTTTGAGAAGACACATACAAGTTTTACAAAACAT